AAAATAGTAACTTATTAACTTTTTAAAATCTTTTTCAGTGTTGCAGTTATACAGATCATAACGGTTAATTAAGGCGCAGATCCTTCAGAATTATATGTTTAATTACAGCTGTACTGATTGAAATTGATGAGGACCATAAAAACAGTATTGTGGCTACTGCTCAAATATTTCTGGATCCACCCTGGCCTACACACCTCAGGCAGCACGTGTATAATTAATCAGCGAGCCTCGGCATGATGGCTCAGTGTTCAGCTTTCAAGAAACAACACAGACAAATTAGCTCTTTCGCTAAGGTCACAATCTGAGCAGTGACACAGATTAATTTCAAAGTATACCCATGTAATCAGATAATTATCTACAATATTTGTATAGAATCAGTAAGAATGCTGTAACATGAAAAGCCATGCAACTCTGTCTCTTAGAAATTGTCCTTATGAACCATTCCTGCTACGGCAAACACGTTTTCATGGAAACTGAATGCAGCTTGATTTCTTTTATAGCAATAGAAAATAATAGAGAACACTCGCTGCACATAGGGATGGGCAATCCGAACAAAAAAGCTACCTGATATTCACTGAGAACTGTTCAAGTGTTCTTCAAAGCTCGTCTCCTTGCACCTGTTCTAAGCGACTGGGACGTGACAGCTTTATCTGGCAGTGTTTGCTCGTCTTCACTTTCATTGACTTTATTTTTAAAGAGTTCCACACAGTCTGACAGCTGTATTGATCTTTAGTGCTGCATGTTAGTTACCAAAAAACCTTCTAAATCTTGAACTTCTGATCTTAAAACTAAATAAGAATCATTACGTAGAAACAAAAAAATATCCACAGGCCTGAATGTCTGATGCAGAATTGGCGCAATTTTAATATCTTTGCCATAAATCAAACCCGCTGGCACACTTTCTGTAACATCTCTGCAAATCTGGTGATGGTTTAGACTTCTACCCTGGAGAAAGTTGCAGTTTCCTTGAATAGTACCGTGTCGTCTTTACTGGGCCACACATTACCTTTGGCATCCTGGTTCTGGCCCAGGCTGTATGTCTAATATCCCTGTTCTAAATAGTGGAGTCCCACTTGTCTGGCCTTGAATATCAAAAGTCAAAATGGCAGCTAGAGACAAAAAAAAAATGTTTCCAGGTATAGGGGCGATGTTTTCTTTTCTCTTTTCGCTTAGCTTGATCATATTTTCAATACGTGGGCCCGAGACAGTAAATATCTAAATTACTAAAATATGCACGTCGAAGATTCTGGTGTGGTTTAACTGTTTTGTGGAGCAGTCAGCATGTGTTGGGAGAGTGGTGGAGTTTTATGGGTAAATTTGTCTTCCACATGTGAAAAACTAGGATACAAGTATTGTTTTAGTTAAATTTAGACATCAAAGAAATGTGTAATTTGCTAAATTAAAAGATGACATGGGTTTCTTTGTCTGTATGCAGGTGTAATAACATTATTTTAGCAACCTGTGCATAGCAAATAATTCTAATAGTAGGGCAATAAGCGAACCACAAAAATCTGTATTTTAAAACCAGAAATAATTGCAACCCTATGATTATAACCTTACCAACTTCCCTACGTCAAGCAACCTTACTGAATGAACAGATATCAATTTAAAGAACTAATGACGCACTCTCATAGTATATTCCCTAATTTCTTCTTTATTAATACATTTTTGTCTCTTTCTTGTGGGAAAATGTTGCCATGCATGGAAAAGTAAACCTGTCAGTTAAAAGGCGTTTTGGTTTTGACTTTTGGCGTTGTTTTTTTTTTGGTTGGACTTGTTGGGTTCGGCCCCCCCCTTTTGTTTTTTCTTTAAAACCCTTTTTTTTGCAAAAAAAAAAGCATATTATATAAAATCTGAATATGTTATTTGCAGACAATAGCTTGAAAGATATGAATAACAATATCCAGCAGAAAATTTATGAAGCATTTTAAGCTGATTTCAAGGTCACTGGTTAAATATTCAAGCTTTTCTGCAGCATAAGGAGAAAAGTGAATGTGTGTTTTTCAGCACCTTGAATTTTTATTTCTGAGGCTTAAAATGAAACAACTTTAAGGCTGGATCAGTCTGTCAGTGGTTTTAAGTCTTATTAAAATAATGAGTAAACATTTGGCCCGCTACCTGAGCAACAGGTACAAGAAATTTAAGAGAATTTGTTACATTCACCCTTTGGCTTGAAATCATTGGATACCTGCCTTCACTCAACAGACTGCTCTGACACTACCCATATGGAAAAGAAATCGAAAAAACTTATAAAGACTTGCATCAGATTTGGCTTGCCTCATATAGTGAATCATATAAGGCTAATGGAAAAGATATATATAAATCTTATAAAGTTTGTATCTGTCTTGTGTGAAACTTGTATGAAAAGCATACAAGAGTGAAAACAGATATAAGATCCCTTGAAAAATTATATAAATGAAACTTGTATGTTTTGGATACTTACTAAAACAATATATGAAAGTAATGAGAAAGTGGCCACTTTCATGAGTAAATCATATAAGTTATATATTCACTATATGAAGTATATATCAGAAATGAGGGTTTTTTTCTCCTTCTATAATCTGAGTGTCAGGTAGAAACAAGTTTCATTTGTTTCAGTTTGCTCATTTTAAGTTTAAATTTAAAATTATATATATATATATATGATCTGTATCTATAGGAATATAAATAAAGGTGAACACTACATGAAAAATTCACAGCATTTCCGCTTTCCAGTGTGATTGCGGTTTGACTCGTGTGAGCCGGCGTGTCGTCATCAGAAACGCGCGAGACGCTCTGGATGAAAGAACTTGGTCCTGCATCACGCTTCACATCTTCATGGTGAGGAACTACGACACGGACAAATGATGCAAGCGAGGGAAACCTGGATGACGCTAATGGAGTTTGCGAGTGCCCACAGCAGCTTGATCTTCATTAGTTCAGAGATTATACTGAGTTTAAATGGGGCACTGAAATTAATGAAAAAAATATAGAATATTTAAATAAAAAAAATGGTTTTCCTATGAACTTTTCCTTTTTTGTTGGCATGTTTTAGAACAGCAACATCTGTATGTCAGCGGTTATTAGAAGCACTCTCATTCTGACAGCAGCCTCAGGGCTTTCACACAGGTATCAGTTCAGCACTGACAGATTAATGGATTCTCTAATATCTCTTTGACTGTCACATCAATCCAGCCGTTATTATAAAGCACTTTGGTTTTGTGAGGCGGCTTTTTCAAATTATTTTACGTGCACAACTGCTGCTCTGATGACACACTGGAAGCAGCTGGATAATAAGATTTTGTAATTATGCTGGATCTAAAACTGTTAAAGTGTTTGATTTCTGAAAGCAGGGCTGGAAGCTCTACGAGAAAATTCCTACAGCATGAGCGTGGATATGCTCATCTTTTATATCTAACATTTATTACTTAATATGGCCAAAGCTTCTAACAGTGGGGTCAGAAGTTTTGGCAAAGGCACAAATCTTGTCTTTCATACAAACGTTATTTGTGGCATGGTGGATATCAGCCTCTGAGCCAAATCCTGAATGATGGCACATTTCTAAGATTAAATCTCGGTGGGATTAAGAAATAGATCTGAGGAGATTCCTGGCCGTTGATCCAAAAAGCTGATTTGACCTTAGTTATCGCTTTGATTTCTGACGTGGTGCTCCATCATCCTGAAAAATGCACAGATTATCACCCCATAGCTCTTGGACCATTGGAAGAAGCTGATCTTTGAGCATGTTTTTCGTATGATCAGTCCTTTAAAAGCAAGCAGATAACCTGAAGCCCACAAAGGGTGATCGACTTGAAGCACTGATAACACAGAAATGGATTACCATCAATCAGGACTTGGGCCCGAACTGATTATTCACCAGTAAAAAAAAAAAAAAGCAAAGAATGCTTATGCTGAAAATAATCCAAGTAAAAACTGAAGTGACAAAGTGTACAAAACACAAAATGTGTGCCACTGCCAAAACATTTGGTCATGAGTTTAAAATTTCTGTATGTGCGGGGCCAGCCAATCAAAAGTTGTCTTGAACAGAGAAACTTGTTTTAGATGGAGGATAAACTGAGGGAAGTGGAAGCTAAATAAGGATTCATCTCAACTGCTAATTGTGTAAAGTTACTCTAGTAGAAGCAAAGAATGAAAATATGAGGCAAGGAAATGAACATAATGGGTCCCTGGAATTTGAAAAAGTGCAGCAGGCTTGGAAAATAATAACATACTAATAATGTAAGTAAGAGAAAACAGTTTTCCACAAATTATATAGTATATAGATAGTTTATATCATAGATCCACAGTTCTCATAACCTTAACTATGCCTTGCACAGAGCCCGGTATAAAGTGTATAAGGATTAATTTAACAGTGCACCATGCATCCAAGGGGTTAAATAAGTATTTAAAGATAAGATATGACACTATTAATGAGATGCTGAGTATGTTTAGGAGCTGGCAGCTGGTGGTTATGTTAAATTAAACAATCATATTCAAAAAATATGTAATACATTGACTTTTTCCTGGATTCACTGAGTGTGAAAATTAGTGCTTTTGTCCTAACCCAATCAGAAACATTTTTTTTTTTTTGCATGTTGTTCATCCACCATCCACCCCGACCACCTCTTTACCTGTTTGACTCTCTATAGAAAACACAAAGTGTGATCCCGACAGCAAAATGAAACTAACAGACAAACTAGGATTTCTAGGAGCTGGAGCTGCAGGCATTTGGTTTTATAATAGTTGCAGTAACAACACCCATGTCATCAACCTAGATGGCGACTGAAGCTTAAATACAGCCAAACCTGAGCAAATGATTTTCACATTATGGAATATAACAGCTTAAAAGAGCAGAAAAAATGGTGATCAAACCAATTAAAGGCACATATTTGTACATACAGGCATGCATATAAACAAAATTTACATTATAAACATGCTTTTTAATGTGTACACTGATGAAAAAATGTTAAGACCCACCCAAGTGTTCATTAATAGGTTGTTATGGGGTTTGTTTGTTTTTTGGCTTAGAAGCAGGCCACCCTGTATTGTACTCACTCCACATCGGTCCCATAAACTTAAAGTTCATGTTTTACACTAGAGGTAACTTATCTCCAATGATGCGCTTGGTTCCAAGTTTTCCTCTGGTAGCGTTTTAGTGCTCCCACCCTTGGTTCCGTTGAGAAGCAGTGGGACAGTCAGGGTGGCCCCGTTGGCGTCTTTCCCTTTCGCATCCCCCATATTATCCCGCCTATCTGGGGAGGCTAGCTCTGTGACTCCAGGCGTCGCGCCTTTCTCTAAGAATAACGGCTGCGAGCTCTGCAGCTGGTAGCTGCTGTTTCCATTCTGGGCAATTCTGTATATCTCAGTCATTTCTGAAACCACCTCTTCATCATCATCCTCTTCATCCCTGATTGCTCGTCTCAGGCTCTCTCTGGGCATGAGCGCCCTCCTGCCCTCGTCCTGCTGCTGGTGCTCCAGGGGCTCGTGGTTCTCCACCTTCCTCGTGGAGCGGCAGAGGGCTTTCCGGAAACCCCGCTTGAAGTTGTCTGACAGGAAGCCGTAGACGATAGGGTTGGCGCAGCTGTTAGCATAACCGAGCACTACGACAAAGTAGTAAAGGCCCTGGTACTCTGGTGGCAGGGCCACCAATAAGTTGATGATGTTGAGGGCATAGAAAGGTAACCAGCAGAAAACAAACACAGCAACAACAATCACAACCATGCGTGTCACTTTCCGCTCCGACTTTCTCCGCTTGGTCGAGGTGGCGTGGACTTTCTTCCCCGAGCTGCGGATCTTGAAGACGATGAGCAGGTAGCAGAGGCAGATGATGAGAAGAGGGCAGAAGAATCCAACGGTGGAGGTGTAAATGATGAAAGCAGCCCTCCAGATGTTAGCCGGCTGGGGCCAGGCGATGTTACAGGTGCCTCCTGCTTTCTGGATGTTAGCAAAGATGACCACTGGCAGAACAACAAGGAATGACAGTGCCCACACGGTGCCATTCACCACTTTGGCCACCTGAGGGCGCCGCCACTTAGAAGACCGAATGGGGTGGACCACGGCGAGGTAGCGATCGATGCTCATTACGGTCAGGCAGAAGATGCTGGTGAACTGGTTGATGGAGTCGACAGTCATGACCAGTCGGCACATGAAGGAGCCGAAGGGCCATGACTGGAGCGTGTTCTGCACCGCCAGGAAAGGCAGGCCGAGCATGAAGAGTTCGTCGGCGATGGCCAGGTTGAGAATATAGATGTTTGTCACGGACTCTATCTTTGAGTAGTGCAGAACAATGTGAATCACTAAAGTGTTGCCGCCCAGGCCGATGATGCAAACAATTATGTAAATGAGTGGGATGAGGACCCCTGCTACGCTGGGACCCGAGAAGGCATCAGGGGCGGTGGAGTTGGTGGAGTTGAACAGCGTGTCGTTCAGATCGCTGTCATTGAACATGAGCGGAAACAGTGGGAGACCCGGCGAGGGGCTCGCAAAGCTGCCGTTCTCCCACGTCTCAGCCGTCATCTCCAGGCCGGAATACGTCGTGTCACCCATGTTGCTTTGTGATCTCAGCTCCCACCCATCTGTTCTGCTGAAGCAAAGAAAAATAAAATAAAGTCACTGAACTTCATAGCTGACATTTTTCAAGTTTCTTTCAGAAAGCAATGAAAAGAAATGGAAAAACTGTTTTTCAAGGACATGACAAAGGGTAACAGTACTTTTACTTTAATATTAAAGCTCTTCACACTCAGACTAAGAAGTCATCAATAATAAGAAATTTTAACCTGAATATATATTTACCATGATGTACTATGATGGCTGAAGTGGTTAAAGTCTATACAATTTGTAACTTTGTATAAATTTACTGGGTCATTTTAAGAAATTTCATCAACAATTTTTTAAAACACAAAACAGTATGCTTGTTAATAGATAAGTGTAACACTAAAGAATTTACTATTTGATTGAAAATGATGCTCACAAGGTACCCCAAGCTATTTATTATTTGTGTGTACTGAATATCATTTTTAATATTTTATGTATATATAATATTATTTTTTCTAACTATAAGCTTGGTCTGATTTTTTAAAAAACTGCTATAGTTGTACTTTCAGCAACTTCCTTATTTTATGAAGCCGAGGTACTGAGGTTGGACTTAGAGGCATAAACCTTTAGATGCCCATCTCATCCTGGTTTAAAACTGGGGATTCTTTGCATGTAAAACACACATTAACCACATGAAGACAGCATTTGTTTTTCTTGGTATAACTCCTATATTTCTGTTCTGTCACCAAATAGTTTGTTGCCATTCAGGCCACTAAACATTATTTTTTGCTATTTGCAGGTTTAATAACCTAAAGCCGGCCTTTCACTTAATGACTTTTCGATTTCACAGATGCAATAAAATCCATCCAGTCTTCCAATAAACTCATTGGGGTTTCCATTGTTGTAAAAACAATGGAAACAATTGATTGCTTGATGCTCATGGGACCCGACTCCAGCAGAGCTGTTTAAACCCATCTTTTTCTTGTCTTAATGTTATAGCGTTATGTCTCAACTTGTAAATGGTGAATTTCTTTAATGTGAATGTGGTATGTGTTGACATGTCCACAGTCTGTGGTGGCTTCTCTTCTTCATTTAGGTTTTTTGCTTTTCTTTTGTGTACACAAAGGCAGCTGTGGCCCAAAGCTCCTGTTCAACACGTTTAACCCCTCGGCCATAAAAGGTGGGTGGGCGGGGTTGGTAGTGTGGACACCCAAGTTTGCGAATAACTCGGGAACGAGGTGTTGTAGGATTTTGAAATTCATACCATAGGTGCAGCTACTAAACATCTTGGACGACTTTGAATCTCAGTGACCTTGAACTCAAGGTCAAGATAAGAAGTCAAGCTTTCAGAAAATCACCTTGGGTTTTCAAACTTAAATGTGCACCTACTAGGAGGCTGACTAGGAGGAGACAAAAGGTCTCCCAATTTAGTTGTCCAATACATTTAAATAGTAGTTATGTTGTAATTTTGCTAATGAGAAATAAAACATATTTAGGAAACATCTATCTGGAATTATAAAACTTGTGGTAAGATGAAGTGTCTGTATTCTGAGCACAGATTATTAGATATAGTATTACAATGCATTTGTAAATTAAGAGTTGGGGTATTTTATAAAATCAAGCTTTGCAAGTCACTTTTTCTCTCCCAAAAAGTGTTGTTAGCCATAATAAGCTAGGCTGTTACATGAAGAGTTAGCAGAGATGTTTCTCAGAGGGTGAGCTGCAAAAAGGAAAGGCTGTAGATAAAATAACGAAAATGGGATAGAAACGGATATGAGATAATGACTCACACAGCAAATAGATAAAGATGCTTGTTTGCAGCATGATTTCACCATGCCATCTATATTTGGTTCTTTTGATAAAGCAGGTAAATTAAACACAGGATATTCTCACACGTGGAAAAAGCAGATAATTGAGACTTCATTAGCAACCCAGCAGCACTCTAGTTAATGTGAACTAGGAACACGCATGGAGGAGA